GGGGTGTGGGAGAGGCAGGCGGCAAAGGTGGGATCGGGGGCTCTGGAGCCGGACGTAGCGCTAACGGCGGGCGGTGGTGTGGGAGAGGCAGGCGGCAAAGGTGGGGCCGGGGGCTCTGGAGCCGGACGTAGCGCTAACGGCGGGCGGCGGTGTGGGAGAGGCAGGCGGCAAAGGTGGGATCGGGGGCTCTGGAGCCGGACGTAGCGCTAACGGCGGGCGGTGGTGTGGGAGAGGCAGGCGGCAAAGGTGGGATCGGGGGCTCTGGAGCCGGACGTAGCGCTAACGGCGGGCGGTGGTGTGGGAGAGGCAGGCGGCAAAGGTGGGATCGGGGGCTCTGGAGCCGGACGTAGCGCTAACGGCGGGCGGTGGTGTGGGAGAGGCAGGCGGCAAAGGTGGGATCGGGGGCTCTGGAGCCGGACGTAGCGCTAACGGCGGGCGGTGGTGTGGGAGAGGCAGGCGGCAAAGGTGGGATCGGGGGCTCTGGAGCCGGACGTAGCGCTAACGGCGGGCGGTGGTGTGGGAGAGGCAGGCGGCAAAGGTGGGATCGGGGGCTCTGGAGCCGGACGTAGCGCTAACGGCGGGCGGTGGTGTGGGAGAGGCAGGCGGCAAAGGTGGGATCGGGGGCTCTGGAGCCGGACGTAGCGCTAACGGCGGGCGGTGGTGTGGGAGAGGCAGGCGGCAAAGGTGGGATCGGGGGCTCTGGAGCCGGACGTAGCGCTAACGGCGGGCGGTGGTGTGGGAGAGGCAGGCGGCAAAGGTGGGATCGGGGGCTCTGGAGCCGGACGTAGCGCTAACGGCGGGCGGTGGTGTGGGAGAGGCAGGGTAACCGCTCAGGCACCAGCACTCGGATCTGGTCCACCGCACTGCAGAGCTTCAGATAGCCCAGGTAGAGGCCTGGGGCGAGGGCCTGGCTGCTTCTCTGGTGGTAGGCCAGCTTGTCCTGAGGGGCAAGAGGCGGTCAGCACAGGGCACCACGCGGCGGAGGGACAGTGGCAAGGAGTCCTGGCTCTGAAGTCCGAGCCGAGGGGGGAACAGAGGGGCTCAAACGAGAGCCAACCCAGGGCTCAGCCTCACGCCGCGCCGCGCGGGCAGTCTGGTGACGGCTCTTCCGCCGTTCCACGGATACCTCCGCTCTCCGGCCAGGACCAGCGCCGGGAGGCCCAAGAGCCTGTGGCCAGACTGCCAGCCCCCAGAGCCGAGCGCCTTGCGCCAGAGCTCGTCCCGCTCACCTTGACATGGGCTTTGGGAAGCAGCCTCCAGCCCCGAGGGGTCTTGTTGCGACAGACGCGCGGCCGCTGGGCCGGGAGCAGGGGGCGCAGGGACGCAGGAAGGGCCAGGCCCTCGGGGAAGGGGGTTGCTAACGGGCTGCGGGAAGGAAGAGCCCAGGGAAGCCACGGAGCAGCTGGCAGAACAAGTGAGAGTCCCAGGAGACACCAACTGCCCCGGAGAGGCAGGGCCCCGCCTGGCCCCTGATACTCTCCCGCGGGCCGAGGCTGGCACCTGCACTGTGGCCAGCAGCATGTCCAGAGCCGAGGGCTCTTCGGGGGAGGAGACGGACTTGCGGCTGGACTGCAGCTTGCAGAGGGGCACCCAGCGGACGCTCTCAAAGCTCTGGCTGGTTTTCACCTCCTTCAGCGTCACCACCAAGATGTTGCCCTGCTTGTCCTTGATGGGCTCGAAGAAGAACTGTCCCAGGTCCTGGATTCCCAGCAGCCCCTTCGCGGACAGAGACAAGGGAGACTCCTTAGGGGCAGCCGCAGGGAGCCAGCCCCTCGCCCCAGACAGCGGCCGGGCCTGTGAGGGGTGCAGAAGGGCCCAGGCCTCCTCTGCCTGGCACACGCACGCCTGGGTCCCCTCTCCTGTCCCCGGGCACGCTCAGCGCAGGGCTCGCCCGATGGGCGGGGACAGGATGAGGCTGGAGCGCTCCAGGCCGGGCTCCCCTTGCGGCGTGGGGCTACCACAAGCCTGCCTGGCGCACCCCGAGCCCTGCACGCCACTAGCAGGCAGCGAGGGGTCGGGTGTCTCAGGCAGCACCTCCAGGGCACACCGCAGTAGCGCTTACCTGTCACACGCATGAGCATGCAGACACACATGAACACACATGCACACGCACACATGCGCAGACACACCAACATGCACACACGCATACACACACGTACCCACGTGCACACACACACACATGCACATATGCACACGCACACGCCCCCCTACTGCGGTCTCAGCAAGAGCCGCCCCAGCAGGGCTGAAGGCCATGGCTCCATCCTGGCGCCTGCTCTCACCTGCATTTGGGCAGGACGCAGGAGCAGGACGACTGGGAGACCGTGAGACACGGGCCCAGCCACAGGATCTCATCCCACATGCAGGAGAGCTGAAGGGCAGAGCAAAGCATCGCACCGGGCCCATCGCCTTCCTACCCATCGCACTCCCACCCATCGCACTGGGCCCATCGCCCTCCCGCCCATCGCCCCCCCCCCCATCGCACCGGGCCCATCGCCCTCCTACCCATCGCACCGGGCCCATCGCCCTCCTGCCCATCGCACCGGGCCCATCGCCCTCCCGCCCATCACACCGGGCCCATCGCCCTCCCGCCCATCACACCAGG